TTTCGCAACGGTTTCAAAACCGAGTGTCAACAAAGAATTTTTGTAAAAAAATGAGAACCCCCCCCCCCCAAAAAAAAAAAAAAAAAAAAAAAAAAAAAAAAAACTTCAAGCGCGCGCGCCCATGAGAATTCCCGAGGGAACCATTTGTTTTTTTTGAACGCCCGCATGGGATTATGCCAAGCAGGCCTCTGGCGACTGGCGCGCCATGCCGACATCATTCGCACGCCGTTGCGCGCGCGCTGGGCGGGCACGACCGGCGTCAAATAAGACCGCGCGGGCCACTCTCGCGCGTCGGCCGCGCGCGCCTGTCGAACTTTTCACAGAGGCTTCATCGCCGACGCGAAGACGCCGTCATCGTCGTCGGAGACCCGCGTCAAATCAACACACGCGGGCCACTCTAGCGCGTCGGCCGCGCACGCGTCGAACTCTTTCCAACCCTTCCTCGCCGACGCGAAGACGCCGTCATCGTCGTCTGCGCGATCAGCATCGGCGCCCGCACTAGCCGCGCCATCGTCGGCGCGGGCGCCGTCGCCAGCGTCGCCACGATCATCATCGCGTCTACCGCAGCTGGCGTTGTCATGTTACCGCGCCCGCCCAAGTCGCCGACCCGCATTGAAGTGCCCGCTGGGATGCGCCCAGCGGTCAACGCCACCGCGGCCGCGTCGGCGGCGCCAAAATGGCCGGCCGCTGCGCGCGCACCAGGGTCGGCGCGGCTGCACAGACGCACCAGCCAACGCCAAGCGCGCCTCGCAATCGCCACCGCATGCGTTTTGCAAACCAAGTTGCGGGTGGGTAAGTGGGGGGTTTGCAAGAACATGGGACGTATCAAATCATTGATCAAAATCAATTGTGCCACCCAGACTCCTCCAAAAAGATGGCACCGCGTAGATTGCACCACAGAGATTGCACTACATTGGTTGAACACTATAGATCGCACAACACATATTACACCACACTGCTTCTCACATCCAAAACATAATTAGGAACGACCACCCTGCCCCGGAGTTGCTCACCCAGCCCCGCGCATTGCAATTCACTTATGATTCTGCCCAATCATTCACTGTAAGAGTGAAAGTAAGCCACGCCAACCAGACCAGCACCCCCCCCCCCCCCCACCGTCGAATAATACGCGCGCAAACCTTTTAAACATAAGCCATCGGTTTCCAAAGTCTCTAGCATACAACGGAGAAAATGCACAAGCGCACGTCGTCGCGCGCGCAGGCTGAAATCACAGACAGATGTATAGCAAGCATAGGCGCTGCAAACTCACTGTTCAAAAAATCGGCGCGCCCTTGCGAATTCTTAGGACAACCATCGGCGATTCGACGCGCTCATCCAACGCGACCAAACTGGCCTGTCGCAAGCGCATGTCGGAACCAATCTAACGCGCTAGCGCGCGCTGGGGGCACGATCCCTGTCAAATGCGCACGCGCGGGCCACTCGCGCGCATCGGCCGCGCGCATATGTCGAAATTCTTCCAACACCGCCATAACAAACACGTGGGCACCATCATCGTCATCAATGTGATCAACATCGGCGCCGTCATAGGCCTTGCCATCGTCATAGCCGTTATCGTCACAAATATCGCTACTATCATCATCGCGTCTGCCATTATCGACGTCGCCACGATACCGCGGCCGCCCGAGTCACCGACGCGCACTGAAGGGCCCGCGCGCCAGCGCGGCCTACGAGACGCGCTGGGAAGTCCCCAGCAGTCTGCGCCGCCGCGGCCGCGTCGGTCGCGCCATACGAGTCGGCACCTCTACGCGCGAGCCTGCGTGCGCTAGCGCGGCCGCAGCAACGAGCCAGCCAGCGCGAAGCAGTCATCGCAATCGCCGCCGCATGGCGCTGCAAACCAAGTTGCGGGCGGGTGGGTGGGATGATTGCGCGACCAGTGAAATTGGCAACTTCAAGCTCGGCAAGGTGAATCGCGTGGATCTCACCACAGAGATTGCACCACGTCGATTCTCCTGACTTTTAAAAAATCGACTCTACCCCACCCCCCGGCGTTATCGCTCCCCCTTTCGGGTATGTAAATCACATACGATTCTGGCCACATGTCCATCCTAAATATGGAATCACAATGTCCCAGGCCAACCGGGTTCCCCCCCCCTGAGGTCCCCTGGTTTTTTTTCTAAAAAAAAACGATGCGGTGACATTTGTTGTTGAAACATAGCACTGTCTCACGAATCCCTTGCAAAAAAAGGGGACGACGTTCACACGCGCGCGTCGTCGCGCGCGAATACCGAAATCCTTCAAAAACCTTCGGTGCCGGAAAGATTTCGCAATCGAGTTTCGAAAAAAATGCAAACACACAGGGTTTCGTAACACTGATTTGCTAAAAAGCTTACGCGCGAGCTCTTGCGAAATCTTGGGAACACCATTGGTTTTCAAGATTTTCACAACATGCTACCAAACGGGCGTCGCGCGCGCGCATGTCGAAATCTGTCGAACGCCCTTGAGCGTGTGCTGTCGCGAGAATCCTCTGCGAGAAATAAAACGAAGTGCAGACGCGCGCGTCGTCGCGCGCGTACGCCGAAATCCTTCAAAACCCACCGGTTTCGGAAGGATTTCAAAATCGCGCGTCCCAAAAACCTACAAAAACACTAGGTTTCGCAACACGCATTTTCAACAAAAGCGTGCGAGCGCGCTCTTGCGGCGTCGTCGTCGTCGTCGTCGTCGCCGTCCTCCCTCCTCCCGCGTCGTCGTCGTCGTCGCCTACGTCGTCCTGTGTCTTTCCTCGTGTTCGTCGTCGTCGTCGTCTTTGGCGTCGTGGTCGTTTCCGTCGTCGTTGTCGCCGTGGTCGGCCTTCCTCCTCCTCCCTCGTCGTCGTCGTCGTCCGTCGTCGGCGTCGCGTCGTCGTCCCTCCTATTTCGTCGCCGTCGTCGTCGTCGTTGTCGTCGTCGCCTCGTCGTTATCTTCCCTCCTCCCTCGTCGTTGTCGTCGTCGGCGTCGCCGTCCTGCCTCCGTCTTCGTCGTTCGCGTCGTCGCCGTCCTCCCTCCTCCCTCGTTGTCGTCGTTGTCGACGTTGTCGTCGTTGTCGTCGTTGTCGCCGTCGTCGTCCTCCCTCCTCCTTCGTCGTCGTCTTCGTTGGCGACGTCGTCGTCGTCTTCGTCGTCGTCGGCGTCGGCTCCGTCGTCTTCATCGTCGTCGACGTCGGCGTCGTCGTCGTCGCCGCCGTCGTCGTCGTCGTCGTCGGCCGTCTTGCTTCTCCGGCCTTCTTGGGGCGCTCTTGAAACGCCCCCGAGGGCTCCAAGACGACCCCGGAGCGACATCTGTGCTCGGTCCCGCATGGGTTTTGCAAACCAAGTTGCGGGTGGCTGGGTAGGATGATTGCGCGAGCAGTGGAGTTGACAACTTCAAGTTCGGCAAGTGATTAATTCTCTTTTCTAAAAACAGAATAGGATCTACCCCCCCCGGCGTTATCGACACCCTTTTCGGGTATGTAAATCAAATACGATTCTGACCACATGTCCATCCTAAATATGAATTTACACTGTCCCAGGCTAGCCGGGTTCCCCCCCCCTGAGGTTCGATTGTAAAAAACACGATGCGGTGACATTCTTTGTTCTAACATAACACTTTGTCGCGAATCCCTTGCAACAAAAAAAAAATGACGAAGTGCACACGCGCGCGTCGTCGCGCGCGCATGCAGAAATCCTTCAAAAACCTTCGGTGGCAGAAGGATTTCGCAATCGAGTTCCCAAAAAAATACAAAAACACATGGTATCGCAACACTGAGTTGTTAAAAAGCTTCCGCGCGAGCTCTTGCGAAATCTTAAGTAGACCATGGATGTTTCAAGATTTTCACGACATGTTATTAAACGGGCTTCGCGCGCGCGCATGTCGAAATCTGTCGAACGCCCTTGCGCGTGTGCTGTCGCGAGAACCCTCTGCAAAAAACAGAACGAAGTGCAGACGCGCACGTCGTCGCGCGCGTATACCGAAAACCTTCAAAACCCATCGGCTTCTGAAGGATGTCAAAATCGCGCGTCCAAGAAACCTACAAAAACACCAGGTTTCGCAACACGCATTTTCAACAAAAACGTGCGCGCGCGCTCTTGCGGCGTCGTCGTCGCCGTCGCCGTCCTCCCTCCTCCCGCGTCGTCGTCGTCGTCGTCGCCTACGTCGTCCTGTGTCTTTCCCTGTGTGCGTCGTCGTCGTCCTCTTTGGCGTCGTGGTCGTTTCCGTCGTCGTTGTCGCCGTGGTCGTCCTTCCTCCTCCTCCCTCGTCGTCGTCGTCGTCCGTCGTCGGCGTCTCGTCGTCGTCCCTCCTATTTCGTCGCCGTCGTCGTCGTCGTCGTTGTCGTCGTCGTCTTCCCTCCTCCCTCGTCGTTGTCGTCGTCGGCGTCGCCGTCCTTCCTCCTTCTTCGTCGTTCGCGTCGTCGCCGTCCTCCCTCCTCCCTCGTCGTTGTCGTCGTTGTCGTCATTGTCGCAGTCGTCCTTCCTCCTCCCTCGTCGTCGTCTTCGTTGGCGTCGTCGTCGTCGTCTTCGTCGTCGTCGGCATCGGCGTCGGTGTCGTCGTCGAAGTCGTCGGAGACGTCGTCGGTGTCGTCGTCGTCGTCGTTGTCGTCGGTGTCGTCGTAGTCGGTCTTAAGAGGTCTTGCAAACCAAGTTGCGGGTGGGTGGGTGGGATGTTTGCGCGAGCAGTGGAGATGACGACTTCAAGTTCAGCAGGGAAGATTGCACCGCATAGATTGCACCACAGAGGTTGCACCACATTGGTGGCACCACAGATTGCACCACATAGATCACACGACATAGATTGCACAACAGACTTTGCACAACATAGATCGCACCACATAGATGCACCACAAAGATAGCACCGCAGATACTGCACAACAGATGTGCTGTTCCAGCAATTTGCACAGCAGATGTTGCTAGGAACACTCTATATGTAGGGTCCACGCTTGTCAGTATATTACACGATGTCCAAGCGCGCGTCGTCCCTTTGGGGGTGACGCATACACAATACTTAAGCATGTGTGGGTGAAGCCGATC